CGTTCTGGAGGGAGGCGCGGGGAACTATGGGGGCGAGCCTGTGGGGGGAGCAGGGGGGGCCCCCCCGCAATGACTGGCTGGGGGCGCCCGGAGGCCTGCGCAGGGGAGGGACTCAGTCAGCTGTGGAGGCCAGTGGCTCGGCCAGGCCGGTGGGTGGGAGGGGAGGGCTGCAGGGCCAGGGTGGGGCCGAGAGCGTTTCCTCTTCCTCTGTCTCTGAGTTATTTCCAAAGCTGCCGGGGCCTCCAGCTTCACACGCTGGGCCAGCCCCTCCAGCTGCAGCCCCCGGCTGACCCCAGGGCCAGGGTCCAGGGCTGTCAATCTTCCTGTCAGTAAAGGGAGAGCCTGGGGGGAGAGACGGGGAGACCCCAGCGCGGGGCCAAGAGCAAGCTGCCCAGGCATCCGCGGGCCAACGGAGGACAGGCAGGAGCGTGGCTGTGGGCTGGGGAGGTCTCCCGGTGGCAGCGGGACCGGGCAGACCCGACCCGAAGGCCACAGCTGCTGAGGAGCCCTGGGTGGGGCAGGTGGAGGCTGGCAAAGGTATGGCCTGGGGCCAGGCCTGTCGGGCAATGCTGGTGGTTGAGGCAAGAATGCACCGGCTATTGGGGGCGTGGAGTGTTCCATGCAGTGACCCTGGGCTCAGCTCTGGCACTTGTGTCTGGGACAGAGCAGGAAAGGGGTTTAGCCCCCCTCCCCCCGCCCCTGCGACCCAACCAAGGCCATGCCCAGTTTTGTCCTTGGCTAACCACAGCCTTGCCCTGGCCCCAGACAGCGGTGGGGAAACTCCAGCTCAGGGCCTGACCCAGCCCATCAGGCCCAGGGTGTGTGGAGGGCGGTGCAGAGGGGGCCGGGTTCCCCTAAAGCCCTGTGCCTCCACCAGGCCCACTCGTTCCCTGAGCACCCAGCATCACCGCCCCCCCCCCCTCTCCGCCCAGGGTTCCCAAGGAGGACTGCCCAGAGGAAGGGCATGCCCTGTGGGGCCTCGAAGTCAGAGCAGAAGTTTGCCAGGGAGGGCAGCAGGCAGACCTACCCGAGAGATGCACAGGGGAGGAGGCACAGGGGAGGAGGGAGGCGCAGGGCGAGGGCTGGAGCCGGCCCATGGCAGCAGCAGCTGCAGGAAAAGCCGCGTGTGCAGCACAGACAGGCACAGAGGGGTCCAGTGGCTGTTCAGGTTACTCGGCTGGCAAGAGGCAGAGTGGGATTTGCAGCCGGTGCTGTGGTCCGGGCTGTGCTCCCCAGGAAGGGGGTGGGGGAGCCCTTAAGAGCAACTGGGGTTGAGGGAGAGCCCAAGGCCAGGGACCTGCTGTGTAACCTCTCAGGGAACCCGTGACCTGCTCTGGGCTGTTTCCATATCAGTGAGAAGGGGGGCTAGGCTGGGTGCCCCGAGTGCAGGAGCGGGCGGTGGAGAGAACAGGCTCTGGGCAGCGAGAAGTGCCCGCTACTGCCGCCCCAGGGAGGGCCCAGGACCAGCCGCTCCCCCTGGTGGGACAGGCTGGCCCCCTTGAAAGGTGCGGTTGCAACACCCTTTGAGGGCGACAGCCGCCCACATGCTGACACCTCCTGTGGGGTTTTGTGGGTTCTTTGAAGACACCGGGCCCTCAGGAAACGCCCACGTGGAGCCCTGCGGGGGCCCTGCACCTGGGTCCCGCCGAGGCTTCTGGGAGGGGGGCTCCCTGCCTGGCCCCAAGCTGGCCTCCATGGTCAGCTCAGCCTCTGGCGGGAGCTTTGTCCAGGACTCCCCAACTCCAGGGACCCAGGCCCTCCACATGCAACGACCACTTCCTGCCTCTGCCCCGGGACACCCACTGTCTGGGGCAGCACTTGGTTGGCACCGCACGTCTGAGGTGTGGGCTCTGGCGGAGGCAGGGCCTGAGACTCGGCTGAGGCCAGGGCTTGGCTTTGGAGCGGGAAGTGGGTGGGCAGGAGCCAGCAGGGTGCATGAGTGCCGGCTGTGCACGCCCTGGGACCAGGGCAGCCGGCAGAGGCTCAGGCGCCCAGGGCGGCAGGAAGGGCCGGGGCTGGCTGTGGGTCCACCTGTGCCCTGTCAGCAGTCACCGCTGAGTGTTCCAGGGCTCAGCACACGGGCCGAGTGTGCCAGGCACTGGGGAAAGCCCTCGGTAGAACCTCAGTGTTTGCAAGCGTCGGGCACATGGGACACGAGTGGCAAGTGGGGAGATGGGCAGGATGTGCCACCCCTGCCGCTGCACCTGCCGCCGACCTTGGTGGCCATGGTCCCACCAGGAGACTGGCTGCTCCGGCCTTCGTTCCCACCCCTCCCCGAACAACGAGGGGCTGAAACCTGGACTCTCCGAGGGTGGGAGCCAGGCAGGCAGGGGGTGGGGTGGGGACGGGCACTGCCTGGCGCCCTGCGGCAGACGGACAGGACTGAATGAGAAGCTGGATCCCAGCCTTTTACTCCCAGACCCTGGGGCCGGTGGGGGCCTTGCAAGATTCTAAGCATTAATCAGGCACCTTCTGTATACCCAGTTCTGTTTGGTTAGCAGGCAAAGGGACTTGTACCTGTGAGAAAAAGTCCAGGTGGCCACAGTCTGGGCATCTGTGAAATGGGTATAGGGTGAGATCCTTCCTCATCAAATCAAAGCTGCTATTGTTTTTGTCATCGTTTTTATTTTATTTTTTCACTTTTAAGAATTTACTATCCAGCCCTGGCCAGTTTGGCTCAGTGGATAGAGCGTTGGCCTGTGGACTGAAGGATCCCGGGTTTGATTCCCGATCAGGGCACATGCCCAGGTTGTGGGCTCAATCCCAGTGTGGGGCATTCAGAAGGCAGCCGACCAATGATTCTCTCTCATCATTGATGTTTCTTTCTTTCTCTCCCTCTCCTTTCCTCTCTAAAATCAATAAAAAGATATATCTTATCTAATAAAGAGGGAATATGCTAATCAATTGCCCCACCCTCAAAGATGGCAGCACCAACAACCACAAGATGGCCGACAGGGGAGGGCAGTTGGGGGCAATCAGGAAGGCACGCTGGCGAGTGGTTGGGAGCCAGCAGTCCTAGATTGTGAGAGGGATGTCTGACTGCTGGTTTAGGACAGTGGGATCAGGCCTAAACCAGCAGTCGGACATCCCCCAAGGGGTCCCAGATTGGAGAGGGTGCAGGCTGGGCTGAGGGACCCCACCCCCAGTGCATGAATTTCGTGCACCGGGCCTCTAGTACATATATAAAAAAGAATCTACCATCTAAAACGGAAAAGCTCAGCTGGAGTTAGCTGGGTTTGATGTCACTGAAGTTTGATATTTCTGTTTTCCTGATGGTATGTGTGTTCCTGGCCTGGTGGGAAGGGATTGGGCCCGGGAGCCAAGGTTGGGATGGGTTCCCAGCTCCTGCCTGCCACAGCAAGAAATCTTGGGCTCGTTGCTTCGTCTCTCTGTGCCTCAGGTTCCTCATCTGTAAAATGGGTGCAATGAGATCTCCTGCATTTTGGGACTGCTGTGTGGATGAGCGATGTCGAGCACTGGGCGCAGAGAAGGCAGCTGTCCCACCCCCCCTCCCCCACTGCCTTCACCGTCCCCTCTCTCTGCAGGTGGTACTCAGGCAGGATTTCCCGGCAGCTGGCAGAAGAGATTCTGATGAAGCGGAACTACCTGGGAGCCTTCTTGATCCGGGAGAGCGAGAGCTCCCCAGGGGAGTTCTCCATCTCTGTGAAGTGAGTCGTGACCTGCAAGGGGGCAGGGCGGGTGGGCAGGGAGGCAGCACCTGAGCTGTGTCCAAGCACCAACCAGGCTCACAGACGGAGGTGGCAGGAATGTCGTCCCTGAAGCGGAGCAGCCCCAGCAAATGCCTGCAAGCAGTGACCAGCTGGGGTTAGGGGAGGACACCCCCTCCAGGGCGTGGCCAGGGCAGTAAGGATGTGCTTGAAGAGCAGGCTCGGGCCTCCAGTGTCAGCCTGGGGGTCTGGACATTATTCTACGACTAGTAAGGGCCAAAGATTCGTCACCAGGGAGGAAGAAGGTGCCGGTGGCTTGTGTGGTGGGAGCGCCTAGGGACAGGAGACACCCAGGCACCGGGGCAGGCCTTCAGGACGTACAGTGACAGGTCCTGCTGCTCCGGGGGGGACCTGACCCGGAGCAGATCCGCCTAGGGCCGGCCGGAGTGCGTGGTTCTTGACCTGGTGCAGGGAAGATGTCACACCACGAGTCCAGGTGACTTTGAGAGGATGTTTATTAAAGCTGGGGCAGTGCAACAAGGAGGGGGCTGGGGTAGAAGCAGCAGGAGAGCCTGGGTGGGGTGCTCTGGTTCACTAAGAAGTCAGAGAAAGGGGCCTTGGAGACAGGATCAGATCAGAGGGTGAGCCCGGCACGAGCTGCCGCTGCCCATTGTTCCCCTGGTGGGGACCCCGTGGAGTGTAGGAGGTGCCCGCCTGCGGGGGGTGGAGGGGAAGGGAAAGGCATGGGCGCGCTCCTGGGAGGAGAGTGCAGGCTGGGTCCCTCCTGGAGGGTTTAAAGGCTGGGCATTTAGGGGAGGTCCCAGGGGAAGTCTCAATAGAATACTCATCAGCTTTCCAGGGGTGTCCCGTCACGGTCGGGGGCTCCACTGATTGGTGGGCGCCAGGGCAGGGGGGGCGTTGGTCATTGCAGCTGGTCCTGGTGCCGCCCACCTGGATTCGCTGCTTTCTGGGCCTGGAGCCGAAATACACGGAGGCCTCGCTGTGATCTCTAGGGAGGAGACTTCTGCGTCTGCTGTAAAGTGCTGGGCCCGTTTGCTCAGCTCTCGGTCTCATTTTCCTCAATTCGCTCGCCAAGGGATTTTTCTAGCGTCTTACTATCCTGCCTCTTAACTATATGGGGACATAGTTGAGCGGACGGACTCTGGAGCCAGGCTGCTGGGGTTCAGATTCTGGCTCTGCCACTTCCTGGCTGTGCAACCTTGGACAAGTCACTCACCCTCTCTGTGCTTGGTTCCTCGCACGTACAGTGAGTTATTGCCAGGATGAACTAGGTCAGTACAGTGAGAGCGATTAGAATAGTGCCTGGCATGGAGGCGAGATGGCTGCAGAGGAGGGTCTGGCTTCGCACCAAGCGGCTCCTCAGGCAGGGGTGGCAGCCAGTCCCAAGGCCACATGGGGAGACGGGGGTCCAGGCTGGAAGTTGGGAGCAGGCGCAGGAGCGGGGTGGCGGGGTCAGGCCCTGGTGGGTCTCTGTCCTTCCTATTTCCAGTGTCTGTGTGAGAAGGGGAGTCCCCCCCACTTTCCCCTCTTAGTCCGCCCGGCTGGTCAAACAATTAAAATGGCACGAGACAGACTAACTGGAGAAAATAATCAAATTTAGCCACATGTGTACAGACGGGGGCTCGGTAAGAAGATGGCGCCTGGAGTCAGACGGGGCGTTCAGGCTTGCTGCCATCTTGAGCTAAAGAGAAAGGAAGGCTGAGGGTGGGGCTTCACAGGGAGGGAGGCAGTTCACGGGCAGATGGAAACCCAAGCGCTGGGGAGGAGATGGCCGCTGGGCCGTGGCTGCCAATGGCCCGGGAGGTGCTGTCACAGGCCTCTCTGAGTCCCTCCGTCGCCACAGCTCCCTCACGTGACACCAGCTCCCAGCGATCCCGCTGCCTGGAGCGGCCTCTCTCTCAGCTCTTTGGGCAAAGGGAACGTCAGAGGTCCCGAGTCTTCTGTTTCTTAAAAATAACACTCGACATCCCAAAGGGGCACATCTGAGGTGGCAGCCTCGGCTCCCTCCCCCTGGGCCGGGAGGGCTTGATGCAGAAGCTCGGGGGCTAGTGGCTGAGCCAGCTGCCCTGGGCCTGGGGCTGCCGTCTCAGTCGGGGAGACAGAACAGAAGCAGGTGGACACGGGCAGCCTCTCTGAGAGGCGGCATCTGAGCAAAAATCTGAACCGGGGGTGGAGGCTGCGCAGGCCCCAGGCAGGACGACCTGGGAGGAGGCTGTGGGGCAGAGGGAGCAGCCGCACAGGGGCCCTGGGGTGCAAAAGGGCTTGGACGCGGGGAGCCCCCAGGAGGTGGCGTGACGAGAGAGGGAGCCAGGGGGCAGGGGCAGCCAGAGAGATGGCCCGTGGAGCCCGCCTAGGAGGCCGGGTTGGTCCCCCGACAGGGAGCCTGGGGAGGTGTGGGCAGGAGGAGGTACTAGCTCCTCCGCTGCTGTGAGAGAAGCGGAGAACAGGGCGAGTGAGGAGCGGGAGCTGTGCCCCGGGCTGAGGGGGGCTGAGGGGGGCTGAGGGGGGCTGAGGGGGGCTGAGGGGGCCTGAGGGGGGCTGAGGGAGTGAAAGGGGCGGGTGGGAGGTGGCACAGGTCTGTGGGGTGGGAACCACCAGCAGGAGCAGCCGCCAGGAGTGTTGAGGACACAGTCCACCTGGAGGAGGCACCGCCGTGCCAGCCTTCCTTCGAGCAGGGCGGCCTTGGGGCTGCTCAGGCTGCTGTGAGGCTCATGCCAGTGGCG